GTATTTTGGAGCCCTGTTGTTGGGTACGTAAATATTTATTATAGTTATGTCCTCCTGGTGTATTGACCCTTTAATCATTATATAGTGTCCTTCCTTATCTTTTGTGGTGGATTTTACTTTAAAGTCTATTTTGTCAGAGATCAATAGTGCCACTCCTACTCTTTTTTGAGTGTTGTTTGCTTGATATATTTTTTTCCATCCTTTGAGTTTTAGCCTGTTCGTGTCTTTAAGTCTAAGGTGTGTCTCTTGTAGGCAGCATATAGATGGATCATGCTTTTTTAACCAATCTGCCACTCTCTGTCTGTTTATTGGTGCATTAAATCCGTTTACATTCAGTGTAATTATTAATAGGTATGAGTTTAGTGCTGTCATCCTGATATCTCTTTTCGTGTGTTGTTCACAGTTTGTTTGTTCTCCTCAATTTTCTGTGCTGAGTCGTTTTTCTTTATGTATTTTTTTTTTTCATCTTTTTCTTTGTTGTAGATTTTGTGTTTGCTGGGTTTTTATGTTTTTCTACTTTTTTATTTTGATTTGTAGGATTGTTAATTCCTTTGTGGTTACCTTAATATTTACCCCACAATGTCAGTTTTATTTGAGAGGTTAGCCATGACATTTTTGTTTTCTCTTTTCATATTTTATCTTCCATTATGACGTGTCTGGAACAGGGTATGTGGCAAAATGTGAAGTTTCTATGACATTCTGACACTGTGTTTTTTTACTGATTTTTTACAAAATAAGAACAAAACAGTGAAAATTAACATAATGAATATATATGCTGTACAAAACAGCAAGGCTGTCAAGGTTTAACTGTGGAACAGAAGACAGCAACACCAAGTGACAACTCAAAATGTTCATTCCTAAGCTTCTCATCAACAGTATGACTCCATTACACAAAATAATGATTTAGAGTTGTCCATGTTTCACACCAAATTATGAGTTGAAAATTCCTGTAATTGCCAAAGTACCTTAATTTTATAGGGAAAAAAAATAGTATTAAATGTATGTCAACTCCTAGTATTTACCAAAATTAAAGTCATGAAATAGGGCATAGAAGTCTCTTAAACTACCAAGTCCATAGTACATTTTTCAGTGTAAATCAGCTTCTCTTAAATTTGGCCCAATTGCTGTCAGGTTCTTAAACAATCCTAAGTGTATAAACATGTAACAGGCCTTTCTTTCAATCAAGTGGAGGTTTGGAAAAGTTGAATTGTGGGGACATCAGTTCCTAATGGAATAAAAGCACAAGTATCCACAATTGTTAGGGAAGTCCTAAGGAGGAAGTAAGAATTGCAATTTTTTCTAAGAGGACTTCAATTTTGAGTTCAAAAGTCAATTATACATGCAGCACTCCAACAAATACTTAAAACATATTACCACCTACCTTCTTTATCACCTCGAGCACTACCCACAAGGAATCTGGACACTAAGGGTGTGCTTGATAAGGATAAACAAGTAGAAATGAAGACACTTTGAGTGGCTCTGATCTGTAAGAAGTGTCCCCACAATAAGCCAAATCCAATCATTAATAGGGTCATATAACATGGTCCTTGTAAGGATATCTTCCATACCTTAAAGAGAATACATTTATTTATATATATTTTAATAGCAAGAGGCTATCTCTTGACTATCACCATAAACAGTACATACATTATTTATAGTCTAAATATATAGTATATAAGGCATATTATGTGCTAGACATTGTTTTAAGTGCTACACACACATACACACACTCATTTAACCCTCAGAATAAATTTCTGAGGCAGATATTATTATTTACCCCATTTTTAGATGAGAAAACTGAGGCATAAAAAAGGCTGAGTAACTTGCCTAGGGTCGCATGGATAGTAAATGTTGGAGTAAGGATTTAAACACAGGCAGTGTGGTTCTATAATCAAACTGATATTTATTAAGTACCTAGTAGTTTGCAATTGGTTATTAACCCAAAGGTAGGTAGGTCGAACACACCCAGTAGCTCCACGGAAAAAACGTCTGGTGAACTGCTTTTGTAAGGATTACAGCCAAGAAAACCCTATGGAGCAGTTCTACTCTATAACACACGGGGTCGTCATGAGTTGGGGGTCAACTAGATGGCAGCTAACAACAGTATACATTGAGCACTGTGCTATATGTGACAAAAAATGTGGAAGAAATAAGGTTTAAGCCTTACCCTGGAGGGCTTTCAATCTAGTTGAGATAATAAAAACTATCTGATATTTATATAAACACAAATATTATATACTAACAAAAGAAATGAAACTTAAAAATGATTCTTATTCTACTTTAAATGATTTGTTTTAGATTTAAATCTACTTGTTCATTTCTTTTCTTCTTCTCCCTATACCTTCCCAACTATCCCTCTTCCAATCAAAACCAGTATTTAATAAGCACTAATCTCCTAATTCAAGGACTTCTACTAAAAGTAAAAATGGTAGGAAAACCATAGAAAGAAGTGATACGGAAGACGGAAGGTCTAAACACAGACGTTTTGGAGCAGTGAAGTCAAAGGCAAGCACTCGGGGGTCCAAAAAGCTAACCTAGTCTCATCTGTGTGTCAACTATATTTATTTTTGAGTGCTTTGGAGTATATTAGTTTTCTCCCCCTCCTTTCTTTCTGTTTCTTAGTAAAAAGCAATACTTTTTTACAAAATTACAAAATCCTCTTTGCGAAATCAAGGAACTTGGGACGCTCTTCCTCAGGCTGTTAGTCAATCTACTACTGCTGCTAAATGAGCAGATTCAGACATTGACCAGTCTCAGCAGTCAAACTTAGCTGTCAACCTGCCTGTACACTGTGGAAGCTTCTACAACCAAATAAATGAATTATAGGAACCTTCTAACCTGGGAAATCCACGCATACTTTATTTGACCCTTATAGAGGCTGAACAATGGGAAGACTGGCAGAGAGGTAACTGAGTTCAATTCAAAGCCAAATACATATTCTGCTTAAGTTCCCTCTGCTATGTAATTCTGATGAACTCAGGCCCGACTCTCTCCTTCCAGAAGAAGGGGAAAGAATTTTAGCCCCCTGTGGCGGTGGAAGCTAAAACCGACATGGAGTCCCTTATGCCATGCTAAAGAGCACGGCTACTACTACCTGGTTCCACAGGGCAAAAGTTTAAGATGATAAATAACCCCTTTTAGAAATACTGTCACCCCTCAGTATCTGCGGGTTCCACATCTGCAGATTCAACCAACTGCTTATGGAAAATATTTGGGAAAAAAAGTTCCAAAAGAGCAAAACTTGAATTTGCAGCACTCCGAGCACAACGCTGAATCCATGCAATTGAGATGTGCAGGCATACCTCGCTGTAGCCCTTTGGCATTTCACAGATGCTTCCAGTCTCTCTTCAACACTGGTTGTCTGAGCTTTGCTTGCCTCACATTTAATTTGTTCCCTATTTGTGTTGTGCGTATCATTTGTTTCTGTGAAAAAATGGCTCCTAAAAAGCAATGAAGTGGTGAAAGCAATCCCTCAAAGGCTAAGTGTGAGGGAGTTCAGGAGAGCAAGAGGAAGGAGTTTCAGGCTAGCAAGGGCTGGCTAGCTAGCTCTGGAAAGCGCTACAGCCTCCAGAACTTCAAGATCATGGGCGGATCCGCAGCCAGCATCAGCATTCCCAGAAGCGCTCAAGAAACTCATAGAAGAGAAAAGCTACTGTGATGGTTAAGATTGTGTGTCAACTTGGCTGGGCCATGATTCTCAGCGTTTTAATGTAATCACTCCCATGACTGAATATACTGTGAGTAGCCAATCAGATGAAAGGGAGTCTCCTTGGGGGTGTGGCCCGCATCGGTATATAAGCAGACATTCTGGTTTTTTGCTCGCTCTGGATCCTGCGGCCACTTCCTGTCATCTTATCTCCCGTTCTTGGGATTTGAGCTGTCAGCTTATCCACCGAACCTGGGATTCATTGATCTGCACAGCCTGTGAGCAGAAGCCCTGCTCTCCGACCTGCCCATCTTGGGCTTGCCAGTTTCTGCAGCTGTGTGACTTGGGAGAGGCCTCTACCCTGATCCATGGACTTGGGACATTCTAGCCTCTACAGTCACATGAGCTGTTTCCTTGATATAATCTCTCTCTCTATATATATATATTTATACACTTTACTGGTTTTGCTTCTCTAGAGAACCCAGCCTAAGACATTTGGTACCGGGAGTGGTTCTAGAGAAACAAAATTGTAAGGATGAGTTTTCTAAATTGGTTCTCAAGTCTAGTTAGTCATAAAGACGTTGATGACTCTGCTTCCAGCAGTAAAGAGGTCACTGCTGGTCCATGGAGCGAGGTGGCAATAAATATGCAAAATATCACCACCGGTAGATCAGGTATTGGTGAAAGGTGAGGCTCAGGGTGAACACGTGTGATATCTTTCTACAGCTTTGTCAGAATGAGAAGTATAAGGAAGCTGGTTGGTTTGTCCTTCTTTCACTAGACAAACTGATGAAGGATAGAGATGTGCTCAGGGCTTCAGAGTCAAGTCTCAAGTGCCGCATACATGACCTCAAGGCTTCCACTTGTGCTTTGAAAGAAAGCCTTATTTCTTGTAGTAACAGAGCCTAAATTGCTGAAAACCAAACCCAGAGTCTTATTGTAAGAGTGGCTGAATTACAACGCCAGCTCAATTGCAAACCTTGAGAGGTTTCTGAAGTTAAAGTAAGGGCATTGATTGGGAAGAGATGGGATCCTGAGACTTGGGATGGGGACATATGGGCAGATAATCAGGAAGCTGGGGACTCTGAGCCTGTAAATTCCATTGAATCATTTCTGCCAGCAGAACCAGTTCCCTCTGAAGAGATTACTTCATGTTTGTCTGCTAAACCACCCTGCCCAGAAAAACCATTAGCCCCTCCACTCCCACCTGAGAAGATTAGCCCTAGCCCAGCTGCCTCTAAAGAGCCCTTGCCTGAGTCATTGCCTGGAGCAACACCTGAGGCAGATGCCTCACAAGATAATGCTGAATGTTCTCAAAACAATTCCACACTACCAATTCTGGCTTCTAGACCTATAACTAGGCTTAAGTCCCAGCGAGCCCCAAAAGGTGAAGTACAAGGTGTGACCCAGAAGGAGGTATGCTACACTCCAAAAGAACTACTCGAGTTTTCTAATATGTACAAACAGAAACCTGGGGAATACATGTGGGAATGGCTATTAAGGTCATGGGATAATGGTGAAGGAACATCAGTCTGAGTTTATTTACATCGGTCCACTAAGCACAGACTGTTCATTCAATGTTTCAGCTAGAGAAGTTAGGAAAGGATCAAATAGTTTATTTGGTTGGGTTGCTGAAGCATGGATTATGAAGTGGCCGACACTAAATCACCTGCCTTGGTATACTGTAGAAGAAGGTATCCAAAGGCTTAGGGAAATTGGCATGCTGGAGTGGATTTATCAAGTTAGACCCACAGACCCACACATAGAGTGTCCAGAGGACACACCTTTTACCACAACTGTGAGGAACAAATTTGTGAAGGGAGCTCCAGAATCCTTGAAGACTGCTGTCATTGCTATTTTATGTAAGTCAGATTTGACAGTGGGAACTGCCCTAACTGAATTAAGACACCTAACTACAATGGGGCTGATTGGACCCCGCGGTAGTAGGGGCCAAGTGGCTGCACTCAATTGACAAAGACAAGGTGGGCGTGGTTACAGTAATGGACACAGGAGTCAACGCAGTAATCAGAATAGTCTGACTCGTATGGACTTATGGCATTGGCTACTTAGTCATAGTGTCCCTAGGAGTGAAATAGATAGGAAATCTACTAAATATTTACTTGATCTATACAAACGGCTGAATTCTAGGTCAGGTGAACAGCAGTCTAACTCGAATTGCCAGAATAGAGAGAAACGGTCCCTCAATCAATTCCCAGATTTGAGCGAGTTTAAAGACCTACAACCCTTTGAATGAAGGGGAGGCCGGGTCCCCTGAAGGAAGGACTCCAACACACTGCCAAAAATTTTTACTGTTCATCTTTCTCCCAGCCTTCCCCAAAGGGACCTACGGCCTTTTAAGAGAGTGACTGTTCACTGGGGAAAAGGAAATAATCAGACTTTTCGGGGATTACTGGATACTGGCTCTGAGCTGACACTAATTCTAGGAGACCCAAAACGTCACTGTGGCCCACCAGTCAGAGTGGGGGCATATGGAGGTCAGGTTACTAATGGAGTCTTGGCTCATGTCCGTCTCACAGTAGGTCTCCGAACCCATCCTGTTGGGATTTCCCCAGTTCCAGAATGCATAATTGGAATAGATATACTTAGCAACTGGCAGAACCCCCACATTGGATCCCTGACGAATAGAGTAAGGGCTATTATTGCAGGAAAAGCCAAGTGGAAGCCATTAGAACTCCCCCTACCTAGAAAAATAGTAAACCAAAAGCAATACTGCATTCCTGGAGGGACTGGAGAGATTACTGCCACCATCAAGGACTTGAAGGATGCAGGGGTGGTGATTCCCACCACATCCCCATTCAACTCACCTATTTGGCCTGTGCAAAAAAAGATGGATCTTGGAGAATGACAGTAGATTATCGAAAACTTAACCAGGTGGTGACTCCAATTGCAGCTGCTGTTCCA